AGTATTTTGTATTCTTTCATTAATTTTGATACAGAACCTCAAAATTTAAGTCAGTAAACATTGGGTTTCTTTTTTAAATAAGCAAGATACACCCTCGGAGTAAAGAAATTTTAATGATCGCCGATCGAACTTTGCCGACAAGTTACAATTGAAACTGGGACGTTTGAACTACTCGCTCAGATTTTTAACTGCCAAGATTATTCTGTGTTTAAGGATCTTGACATACTAAATTCACAATATTCGACAGAATAAAATTGTATTTATAACGAAATATCGTTTCTGACGGAAATACTCGGATTTTTAACAACCTGCCAACCTGTGTTCGACGATCTTGACGTACGAATGGAAATTCGCAATATTCAACGGAATAAAAATGTTTTCGTAAAGGAATATCGTTTCCGATGGGATAAAACGAGGAAAAGTATCTCAATGATATTTATTAATAACTAAAAACTACACTAATCATAATTACAATGTAGTCTACCAATACAAGAAACATTATCAAGCAATCACGAGTCCGATACGGACATAATATGTAGTGTCTACATTATCTACAAAAATTAATTTAAAAAATATCCAATTACCCACCTGTACGAGTTTACTTAACGAGGAAATACTGGGGCTTATACAAAAACTACACACCATTCTTGGACAACAACGATTGGACGTTAAGTTTCAGTTTGTACATTAGTTTTTAAAGATACTACCCTACGAGTTCCTACAACGATAACATTTAAGTAACATTTACGGATATATAAACCGTACGAGCCCGAACCCGAAATGAACGGTTAAAACATCTATAAGATCCGCGGGGCCAGTTTAAAAATTCAAGTATCACAAAAGATTAATAAAAATTAATTTCTATTAGGAATTCTAAAATAGTTTCGTTAATCCCGGTTAATCGTGAGTAATAAAAAGGTCGATATAAAAATAACGCTTTCCGCGTGTAGCAAAGTATAAAACAATTCTACTAAAAATTGAAAGTAACGCGGCCCATTCAGATGTTCAGGTAGAAAATGCGGCCCAATTAAACGATCGCCATATACTCCTGCCCATACATTGACACCGAATCTCCTCTGAAAGCTAAAACGACGAGTAGTGTACGGGTTTTCATCTGACCAAATGTGACTATTATGGCTGCAAAGAAATTAGCTCTGTTTCACTTTAAATAAAATTTAATATTGAAGTTACAAAACTCCAAGAGTTCAAGTAATTTAAATTTCATTTCACAACCATTTCAATTTCATTACAAAAATAATGACATAAAAAACCAACACTCACTAGATAAATTATAAAGAGAGGGTGAAATGTATGTAGT